CTGTGTGGTAAACCAGCACTGTGTGGTAAACCAGCACTGTTTGGTAAACCAGCACTGTGTGGTAAACCAGCACTGTGTGGTAAACCAGCACTAACTGTGACCCCTCCCCCCCCCCCTGCCAGGACGTCTGTGGTCTCGTTTGTGGCTCTGTGCTGCTCCGAGCGCTGCGCTCGGAGCTTCACTCTCAGGTAGCCACGGGGGGGGGGGGGGGGGGGTGGGAGTGGGGGGAGTTGGTGGAGCTGGTGGAGTTGGTGGAGCTGGTGGAGTTGGTGGAGTTGGTGGAGTTGTTGGAGTTGCTGGAGTTGGTGGAGTTGGTGGAGTTGCTGGAGTTGCTGGAGTTGCTGGAGTTGCTGGAGTTGCTGGAGTTGGTGAAGTTGGTGGGAGTTGGTGGGAGTTGGTGGAGTTGGTGGGAGTTGGTGGAGTTGGTGGAGTTGCTGGAGTTGCTGGAGTTGCTGGAGTTGGTGGGAGTTGGTGGGAGTTGGTGGAGTTGGTGGAGTTGGTGGAGTTGCTGGAGTTGGTGGGAGTTGGTGGAGTTGGTGGAGTTGCTGGAGTTGCTGGAGTTGCTGGAGTTGCTGGAGTTGCTGGAGTTGGTGAAGTTGGTGGGAGTTGGTGGGAGTTGGTGGAGTTGGTGGGAGTTGGTGGAGTTGGTGGAGTTGCTGGAGTTGGTGGGAGTTGGTGGAGTTGCTGGAGTTGGTGGGAGTTGGTGGGAGTTGGTGGAGTTGGTGGAGTTGCTGGAGTTGGTGGAGTTGGTGGGAGTTGGTGGAGTTGGAGGAGTTGGTGGGAGTTGGTGGAGTTGGTGGAGTTGGTGGGAGTTGGTGGAGTTGCTGGAGTTGGTGGGAGTTGGTGGAGTTGCTGGAGTTGCTGGAGTTGGTGGGAGTTGGTGGGAGTTGGTGGAGTTGGTGGAGTTGGTGGAGTTGCTGGAGTTGGTGGGAGTTGGTGGAGTTGCTGGAGTTGCTGGAGTTGGTGGGAGTTGGTGGGAGTTGGTGGAGTTGGTGGAGTTGGTGGAGTTGCTGGAGTTGGTGGGAGTTGGTGGAGTTGCTGGAGTTGCTGGAGTTGCTGGAGTTGGTGAAGTTGGTGGGAGTTGGTGGGAGTTGGTGGAGTTGGTGGGAGTTGGTGGAGTTGGTGGAGTTGCTGGAGTTGGTGGGAGTTGGTGGAGTTGCTGGAGTTGGTGGGAGTTGGTGGGAGTTGGTGGAGTTGGTGGAGTTGCTGGAGTTGGTGGAGTTGGTGGGAGTTGGTGGAGTTGGAGGAGTTGGTGGGAGTTGGTGGAGTTGGTGGAGTTGGTGGGAGTTGGTGGAGTTGCTGGAGTTGGTGGGAGTTGGTGGAGTTGCTGGAGTTGCTGGAGTTGGTGGGAGTTGGTGGGAGTTGGTGGAGTTGGTGGAGTTGGTGGAGTTGCTGGAGTTGGTGGGAGTTGGTGGAGTTGCTGGAGTTGCTGGAGTTGGTGGGAGTTGGTGGGAGTTGGTGGAGTTGGTGGAGTTGGTGGAGTTGCTGGAGTTGGTGGGAGTTGGTGGAGTTGCTGGAGTTGCTGGAGTTGCTGGAGTTGCTGGAGTTGCTGGAGTTGGTGGAGTTGGTGAAGTTGGTGGGAGTTGGTGGGAGTTGGTGGAATTGGTGGAGTTGCTGGAGTTGCTGGAGTTGGTGGGAGTTGGTGGAGTTGCTGGAGTTGCTGGGAGTTGGTGGGAGTTGGTGGAGTTGCTGGAGTTGCTGGAGTTGGTGGGAGTTGGTGGAGTTGCTGGAGTTGGTGGGAGTTGGTGGGAGTTGGTGGAGTTGGTGGAGTTGCTGGAGTTGGTGGAGTTGGTGGGAGTTGGTGGAGTTGCTGGAGTTGCTAGAGTTGGTGGAGTTGGTGGAGTTGTTGGAGCTGGTGGAGCTGGTGGAGTTGCTGGAGTTGCTGGGGTTGCTGGAGTTGGAGGAGTTGGTGGAGTTGCTGGAGTTGGTGGAGTTGGTGGGAGTTGGTGGAGTTGGTGGGAGCTGGTGGAGTTGGTGGAGTTGGTGGAGTTGGTGGGAGTTGGTGGAGTTGGTGGGAGTTGGTGGAGTTGGTGGAGTTGCTGGAGTTGGTGGAGTTGGTGGAGTTGGTGAAGTTGGTGGGAGTTGGTGGGAGTTGGTGGAATTGGTGGAGTTGCTGGAGTTGCTGGAGTTGGTGGAGTTGGCGGGAGAGGGGGAGTGGTGGGAGTGGTGGGAGTGGTGGGAGTGGGGAGAGTGGTGGGAGTGGTGGGAGTGGTGGGAGTGGGGAGAGTGTTGGGAGTGGTGGGAGTGGTGGGAGTGGGGAGAGTGGTGGGAGTGGTGGGAGTGGTGGGAGTGGGGAGAGTGGTGGGAGTGGTGGGAGTGGGGAGAGTGGTGGGAGTGGTGGGAGTGGTGGGAGTGGTGGGAGTGGGGAGAGTGGTGGGAGTGGTGGGAGTGGGGAGAGTGGTGGGAGTGGTGGGAGTGGTGGTGGGAGTGGTGGGAGTGGGGAGAGTGGTGGGAGTGGTGGTGGGAGTGGTGGGAGTGGTGGGAGTGGTGGTGGGAGTGGTGGTGGGAGTGGTGGGAGAGGGGGAGTGGTGGGAGTGGTGGGAGTGGTGGGAGTGGTGGGAGTGGGGAGAGTGTTGGGAGTGGTGGGAGTGGTGGGAGTGGGGGAGTGGTGGGAGTGGTGGGAGTGGTGCGAGTGGGGAGAGTGGTGGGAGTGGTGGGAGTGGTGGGAGTGGTGGGAGTGGGGAGTGGTGGGAGAGGGGGGAGTGGTGGGAGTGGTGGGAGTGGTGGGAGTGGTGGGAGTGGGGAGAGTGGTGGGAGTGGTGGGAGTGGTGGGAGTGGTGGGAGTGGGGAGAGTGGTGGGAGTGGTGGGAGTGGTGGGAGTGGTTGGAGTGGTTGGAGTGGTGGGAGTGGTGGGAGTGGTGGTGGGAGTGTTGGAAGTGGTGGCAGTGGTGGTTGGAGTGGTGGGAGTGGTGAGAGTGGTGGGAGAGGGGGAGTGGTGGGAGTGGTGGTGGGAGTGGTGGGAGTGGTGGGAGTGTTGGGAGTGGTGTTGGGAGTGGTGGTGGGAGTGGTGGGAGTGGTGGGAGACGAGGAGTGGTGGGAGTGGTGGGAGTGTTGGGAGTGGTGTTGGGAGTGGTGGGAGTGGTGGTCACAGCAAGAAGCAGTAGGGACCTGAATTCCATTCACAAATTCCGGTGCTTTTGAGTGTGTGGCGTTGGTATGTTTTGCAGTGCGTGTCGGTGAGTGAGTGTGTGTGTGTGTCTGTGTGTGACGGTGTCTTTGAGTGTGTGTGTCTGTGTGTGACGGTGTCTGTGTGTGACGGTGTCTTTGAGTGTGTGTGTCTGTGTGTGACGGTGTCTTTGAGTGTGTGTGTCTGTGTGTGACGGTGTCTTTGAGTGTGTGTGTGTGTGTGTGACGGTGTTTTTGAGTGTGTGTGTGTCTGTGTGTGACGGTGTCTTTGAGAGTGTGTGACGGTGTTGGCACAGTAGGGGGCACAGGTGGTGCACCAGCCAGTCATCTCAGTCGTCTCAGTCAGTCGACCCGTGGCACCTGGGTCTGCCCCGTGACCTCCTGCCCGCGGGCGTTCGACACTTCACGTGGCCTCAAGGTGCACATAGCCTGGCACAAGCGTCGTGGTGACGTCACCGCCACTTAGTGACGAATGGTGGTTGTTGTTGTTGACGGTGTCTTTAGGTGCTCACTAACAGCACTCGCCTGAAAAGTCTCAGAGGCTATCCGCAAATCCCTTGCCAACCGCAAATTTACCAACCGGGTTTACGCGTTTGTACTTCTGTAAACCTTTTACTCACCACGAGATCTGAGTACACACGGATTGACCTCTAGTCCTGTGTACTCACCACGAGATCTGAGTACACACGGATTGACCTCTATCCCTGTTTACCCATCACGAGATCTGAGTACACACGGATTGACCTCTACTCCTGTGTACTCATCACGAGATCTGAGTACACACAGATTGACCTCTACTCCTGTTGACTCACCACGAGATCTGAGTACACACGGATTGACCTCTACTCCTGTGTACTCATCACGAGATCTGAGTACACACGGATTGACCTCTACTCCTGTTGACTCACCACGAGATCTGAGTACACACGGATTGACCTCTACTCCTGTGTACTCATCACGAGATCTGAGTACACACGGATTGACCTCTACTCCTGTTTACTCACCACGAGATCTGAGTACACACGGATTGACCTCTAGTCCTGTGTACTCATCACGAGATCTGAGTACACACGGATTGACCTCTAGTCCTGTTTACCCATCACGAGATCTGAGTACACACGGATTGACCTCTACTCCTGTTTACCCATCACGAGATCTGAGTACACAGCGATTGACCTCTATCCCTGTGTACTCATCACGAGATCTGAGTACACACGGATTGACCTCTACTCCTGTTTACTCATCACGAGATCTGAGTACACACGGATTGACCTCTATCCCTGTGTACTCATCACGAGATCTGAGTACACACGGATTGACCTCTATCCCTGTTTACCCATCACGAGATCTGAGTACACACGGATTGACCTCTATCACTGTGTACTCATCACGAGATCTGAGTACACACGGATTGACCTCTATCCCTGTTTACTCACCATGAGATCTGAGTACACACGGATTGACCTCTAGTCCTGTGTACTCATCACGAGATCTGAGTACACACGGATTGACCTCTACTCCTGTGTACTCACCACGAGATCTGAGTACACACGGATTGACCTCTATCCCTGTGTACTCATCACGAGATCTGAGTACACACGGATTAACCTCTATCCCTGTTTACCCATCACGAGATCTGAGTACACACGGATTGACCTCTAGTCCTGTGTACTCATCACGAGATCTGAGTACACACGGATTGACCTCTACTCCTGTGTACTCACCACGAGATCTGAGTACACACGGATTGACCTCTATCCCTGTTCACCCATCACGAGATCTGAGTACACACGGATTGACCTCTACTCCTGTTGACTCACCACGAGATCTGAGTACACACGGATTGACCTCTAGTCCTGTGTACTCATCATGAGATCTGAGTACACACGGATTGACCTCTACTCCTGTGTACTCATCACGAGATCTGAGTACACACGGATTGACCTCTATCCCTGTTCACCCATCACGAGATCTGTGTACACACGGATTGACCTCTATCCCTGTTTACCCATCACGAGATCTGTGTACACACGGATTGACCTCTAGTCCTGTTTACCCATCACGAGATCTGAGTACACACGGATTGACCTCTAGTCCTGTTTACCCATCACGAGATCTGAGTACACACGGATTGACCTCTATCCCTGTTTACCCATCACGAGATCTGAGTACACACGGATTGACCTCTATCCATGTTTACTCACCACGAGATCTGAGTACACACAGATTGACCTCTAGTCCTGTTTACCCATCACGAGATCTGAGTACACACGGATTGACCTCTATCCCTGTTTACACATCACGAGATCTGAGTACACACGGATTGACCTCTAGTCCTGTTCACCCATCACGAGATCTGAGTACACACGGATTGACCTCTATCCCTGTGTACTCATCACGAGATCTGAGTACACACGGATTGACCTCTACTCCTGTTTACTCATCACGAGATCTGAGTACACACGGATTGACCTCTATCCCTGTTTACTCACCACGAGATCTGAGTACACACGGATTGACCTCTATCCCTGTGTACTCATCACGAGATCTGAGTACACACGGATTGACCTCTACTCCTGTTTACTCATCACGAGATCTGAGTACACACGGATTGACCTCTATCCCTGTTTACTCATCACGAGATCTGAGTACACACGGATTGACCTCTATCCCTGTTTACCCATCACGAGATCTGAGTACACACGGATTGACCTCTACTCCTGTGTACTCATCACGAGATCTGAGTACACACGGATTGACCTCTAGTCCTGTTTACTCACCACGAGATCTGAGTACACACGGATTGACCTCTATCCCTGTTCACCCACCACGAGATCTGAGTACACACGGATTGACCTCTATCCCTGTGTACTCATCACGAGATCTGAGTACACACGGATTGACCTCTAGTCCTGTTCACCCACCACGAGATCTGAGTACACACGGATTGATCTCTATCCCTGTGTACTCATCACGAGATCTGAGTACACACGGATTGACCTCTATCCCTGTTCACCCATCACGAGATCTGAGTACACACGGATTGACCTCTACTCCTGTGTACTCATCACGAGATCTGAGTACACACGGATTGACCTCTACTCCTGTGTACTCATCACGAGATCTGAGTACACACGGATTGACCTCTATCCCTGTGTACTCACCACGAGATCTGAGTACACACGGATTGACCTCTATCCCTGTTTACCCATCACGAGATCTGAGTACACACGGATTGACCTCTACTCCTGTTTACCCATCACGAGATCTGAGTACACACGGATTGACCTCTAGTCCTGTTTACCCATCACGAGATCTGAGTACACACGGATTGACCTCTAGTCCTGTTTACCCATCACGAGATCTGAGTACACACGGATTGACCTCTATCCCTGTTTACCCATCACGAGATCTGAGTACACACGGATTGACCTCTAGTCCTGTTTACTCATCACGAGATCTTAGTACACACGGATTGACCTCTATCCCTGTTTACCCATCACGAGATCTGAGTACACACGGATTGACCTCTATCCCTGTTTACCCACCACGAGATCTGAGTACACACGGATTGACCTCTATCCCTGTTTACCCATCACGAGATCTGAGTACACACGGATTGACCTCTATCCCTGTGTACTCATCACGAGATCTGAGTACACACGGATTGACCTCTAGTCCTGTTCACCCACCACGAGATCTGAGTACACACGGATTGATCTCTATCCCTGTGTACTCACCACGAGATCTGAGTACACACGGATTGACCTCTATCCCTGTTCACCCATCACGAGATCTGAGTACACACGGATTGACCTCTATCCCTGTTTACCCATCACGAGATCTGAGTACACACGGATTGACCTCTATCCCTGTTTACCCATCACGAGATCTGAGTACACACGGATTGACCTCTATCCCTGTTTACCCACCACGAGATCTGAGTACACACGGATTGACCTCTATCCCTGTTTACCCATCACGAGATCTGAGTACACACGGATTGACCTCTATCCCTGTGTACTCATCACGAGATCTGAGTACACACGGATTGACCTCTAGTCCCTGTTCACCCACACGAGATCTGAGTACACACGGATTGATCTCTATCCCTGTGTACTCATCACGAGATCTGAGTACACACGGATTGACCTCTATCCCTGTTCACCCATCACGAGATCTGAGTACACACGGATTGACCTCTACTCATGTGTACTCATCACCAGATCTGAGTACACACGGATTGACCTCTATCCCTGTTCACCCATCACGAGATCTGAGTACACACGGATTGACCTCTACTCCTGTGTACTCATCACGAGATCTGAGTACACACGGATTGACCTCTATCCCTGTTTACCCATCACGAGATCTGAGTACACACCGATTGACCTCTAGTCCTGTGTACTCATCACGAGATCTGAGTACACACGGATTGACCTCTATCCCTGTTCACCCATCACGAGATCTGAGTACACACGGATTGACCTCTATCCCTGTTTACCCATCACGAGATCTGAGTACACACGGATTGACCTCTACTCCTGTGTACTCATCACGAGATCTGAGTACACACGGATTGACCTCTATCCCTGTTCACCCATCACGAGATCTGAGTACGCGCTAATCGAGAGCCCGGCGTGAAGGAAACCGCGCCACGTGGTTTATTACGTCATTGCATCGCAGCATGACGTCACTGCATTACGTCACTGCATTGCGTCACGCCATTGTTACTAATTCCGCGGGGCCGAGAAGCCGATGAGCCTCACGCCCGCGTTCACCTTCCCCTCGGTCACGGGGCCGGCCAGCGAGCGGCGAGCGGCGAGGGCGGCGTCTGTGGTACCAGGAGGAAGGGGGGCGATGGTGGGCAGAGCTCCTCCTCCTCCTCGTCCTCCTCACCAGCCCCTTCATGATCACCGTCAATGCTCAAGGCGTGTGACGTTCACGGAATGTTGAATCTGTTGTTGTGTCGTGCGCTGTGTTTGTTAACGGTGCTGAGCCAATAAAGAGTCTGGGCCCCGGCGCCCCCTGACCCCGCCGCTATGCTACAGGCCCCCTGGGCCCGACCAGCCGCGGATTTGCCTGCCGCGACGGTTGCCACGGCGACTGGCGAGGTTTTACTGCCCCGGGGGCTCTGCGTGGCGCTTTGCCGGCGACGCGGGTTCCACTCCGGCTTCGTGACGATTCAAAATGAACCGCTCGGGGGCCCTCCCCAGGGGTCGAATCGGCCTCAAGAGGGCACCCCGGCGCTGCGGCGTCGTGAGACGTCGCCACTGGCGAGGGAGACAAAGGCGGCCGGGCGCCGCGTTGCGGCCACGGTGCGCCGCCCTTCGTCGGTGCCTCTGCTGCCCCCTGCCGTTGACGGCGTCACGTGACAGTGATGGCGTCACGTGACAGTGATGGCTTCACGTGACAGTGATGGCTACACGTGACAGTGATGGCTTCACGTGACAGTGATGGCTGTGACAGTGATGGCTACACGTGACAGTGATGGCTGTGAAAGTGATGGCTGTGACAGTGATGGCTGTGACAGTGATGGCTGTGACAGTGATGGCGTCACGTGACAGTGATGGCTGTGACAGTGATGGCTTCACGTGACAGTGATGGCTTCACGTGACAGTGATGGCTGTGACAGTGATGGCTTCACGTGACAGTGATAGCTTCACGTGACAGTGATGGCTGTGACAGTGATGGCTGTGACAGTGATGGTTTCACGTGACAGTGATGGCTGTGACAGTGATGGCTGTGACAGTGATGGCTTCACGTGACAGTGATGGCTGTGACAGTGATGGCTGTGACAGTGATGGCTTCACGTGACAGTGATGGCTGTGACAGTGATGGCTTCACGTGACAGTGATGGCTTCACGTGACAGTGATGGCCACACGTGACAGTGATGGCTACACGTGACAGTGATGGCTGTGACAGTGATGGCTACACGTGACAGTGATGGCTGTGACAGTGATGGCCACACGTGACAGTGATGGCTACACGTGACAGTGATGGCTGTGACAGTGATGGCTTCACGTGACAGTGATGGCTTCACGTGACAGTGATGGCTTCACATGACAGTGATGGCTTCACGTGACAGTGATGGCTTCACGTGACAGTGATGGCTTCACGTGACAGTGATGGCTGTGACAGTGATGGCTTCACGTGACAGTGATGGCTACACGTGACAGTGATGGCTGTGACAGTGATGGCTTCACGTGACAGTGATGGCCATGACAGTGATGGCTACACGTGACAGTGATGGCCATGACAGTGATGGCTTTACGTGACAGTGATGGCTTCACGTGACAGTGATGGCTTCAGTGACAGTGATGGCTTTCACGTGACAGTGATGGCTAGTGACAGTGATGGCTCGTGACAGTGATGGCTTCACGTGACAGTGATGGCTGTGACAGTGATGGCTTCACGTGACAGTGATGGCTTCACGTGACAGTGATGGCCACACGTGACAGTGATGGCTACACGTGACAGTGATGGCTGGTGACAGTGATGGCTTCACGTGACAGTGATGGCTGTGACAGTGATGGCTCACGTGACAGTGATGGCTTCACATGACAGTGATGGCTTCACGTGACAGTGATGGCTTCACGTGACAGTGATGCTTCACGTGACAGTGATGGCTGTGACAGTGATGCTTCACGTGACAGTGATGGCTACACGTGACAGTGATGGCTGTGACAGTGATGGCTTCACGTGACAGTGATGGCTCCGTGACAGTGATGGCTACACGTGGACAGTGATGGCTTCACGTGACAGTGATGGCTTCACGTGACAGTGATGGCTTCACGTGACAGTGATGGCCGTGACAACAGTGACAGTGATGGCTTCACGTGACAGTGATGGCTTCACGTGACAGTGATGGCTTCACGTGACAGTGATGGCTTCACGTGACAGTGATGGCTTCACGTGACAGTGATGGCGTCACGTGACAGTGATGGCTTCCACGTGACAGTGATGGCCTGTGACAGTGATGGCTACACGTGACAGTGATGAGCTCACGTGACAGTGATGGCTTACACGTGAACAGTGATGGCTTCACGTGACAGTGATGGCTAGTGACAGTGATGGCCCTGTGACACGTGATGGCTTCACGTGACAGTGATGGCTTCACGTGACAGTGATGGCTTCACGTGACAGTGATGGCTTCCGTGACAGTGATGGCTCGTGACAGTGATGGCCTTCACGTGACAGTGATGGCTTACACGTGACAGTGATGGCTCGTGACAGTGATGGCTTCACGTGACAGTGATGGCCATGACAGTGATGGCTACACGTGACAGTGATGGCCATGACAGTGATGGCTTCACGTGACAGTGATGGCTTCACGTGACAGTGATGGCTGTGACAGTGATGGCTTCACGTGACAGTGATGGCGTCACGTGACAGTGATGGCTTCACGTGACAGTGATGGCTTCACGTGACAGTGATGGCTTCACGTGACAGTGATGGCCGTGACAGTGATGGCTACACGTGACAGTGATGGCTGTGACAGTGATGGCTACACGTGACAGTGATGGCTTCACGTGACAGTGATGGCTACACGTGACAGTGATGGCTTCACGTGACAGTGATGGCTGTGACAGTGATGGCTGTGACAGTGATGGCTTCACGTGACAGTGATGGCTGTGACAGTGATGGCTTCACGTGACAGTGATGGCTACACGTGACAGTGATGGCTACACGTGACAGTGATGGCTTCACGTGACAGTGATGGCTGTGACAGTGATGGCCATGACAGTGATGGCTTCACGTGACAGTGATGGCCGTGACAGTGATGGCTTCTTGTGACAGTGATGGCCATGACAGTGATGGCTTCACGTGACAGTGATGGCTTCAGGTGACAGTGATGGCTACACGTGACAGTGATGGCTTCAAGTGACAGTGATGGCTACACGTGACAGTGATGGCTTCACGTGACAGTGATGGCTGTGACAGTGATGGTCGTGACAGTGATGGCTGCACGTGACAGTGATGGCTACACGTGACAGTGATGGCTTCACGTGACAGTGATGGCCGTGACAGTGATGGCCATGACAGTGATGGCTTCACGTGACAGTGATGGCCGTGACAGTGATGGCTTCACGTGACAGTGATGGCTTCACGTGACAGTGATGGCTACACGTGACAGTGATGTCTGTGACAGTGATGGCCATGACAGTGATGGCTACACGTGACAGTGATGGCTGTGACAGTGATGGCTACACGTGACAGTGATGGCTACACGTGACAGTGATGGCTTCACGTGACAGTGATGGCTTCTTGTGACAGTGATGGCCATGACAGTGATGGCTTCACGTGACAGTGATGGCTTCACGTGACAGTGATGGCCATACGTGACAGTGATGGCTGTGACAGTGATGGCCGTGACAGTGATGGCTTCACGTGACAGTGATGGCTACACGTGACAGTGATGGCTACACGTGACAGTGATGGCTTTGACAGTGATGGCTTCACGTGACAGTGATGGCTTCACGTGACAGTGATGGCTTCACGTGACAGTGATGGCTGTGACAGTGATGGCTTCACGTGACAGTGATGGCTTCACGTGACAGTGATGGCTTCACGTGACAGTGATGGCTTCAAGTGACAGTGATGGCTTCACGTGACAGTGATGGCTTCACGTGACAGTGATGGCTGTGACAGTGATGGTCGTGACAGTGATGGCTGCACGTGACAGTGATGGCTACACGTGACAGTGATGGCTTCACGTGACAGTGATGGCCGTGACAGTGATGGCCATGACAGTGATGGCTTCACGTGACAGTGATGGCCGTGACAGTGATGGCTTCACGTGACAGTGATGGCTTCACGTGACAGTGATGGCTACACGTGACAGTGATGGCTGTGACAGTGATGGCCATGACAGTGATGGCTACACGTGACAGTGATGGCTGTGACAGTGATGGCTACACGTGACAGTGATGGCTACACGTGACAGTGATGGCTTCACGTGACAGTGATGGCTTCTTGTGACAGTGATGGCCATGACAGTGATGGCTTCACGTGACAGTGATGGCTTCACGTGACAGTGATGGCTACACGTGACAGTGATGGCTACACGTGACAGTGATGGCTACACGTGACAGTGATGGCTAGTGACAGTGATGGCCGTGACAGTGATGGCTTCACGTGACAGTGATGGCTACACGTGACAGTGATGGCTTTGACAGTGATGGCTTCACGTGACAGTGATGGCTTCACGTGACAGTGATGGCTTCACGTGACAGTGATGGCTGTGACAGTGATGGCTACACGTGACAGTGATGGCTTCACGTGACAGTGATGGCTTCACGTGACAGTGATGGCTACACGTGACAGTGATGGCTTCACGTGACAGTGATGGCTTCACGTGACAGTGATGGCTACACGTGACAGTGATGGCTTCACGTGACAGTGACAGCTTCACGTGACAGTGATGGCTTCACGTGACAGTGATGGCTACACGTGACATTGATGGCTTCACGTGACAGTGATGACTTCTCGTGACAGTGATGGCTACACGTGACAGTGATGGCGTCACGTGACAGTGATGGCTACACGTGACAGTGATGGCTTCACGTGACAGTGATGGCTTCACGTGACAGTGATGGCTACACGTGACAGTGATGGCCGTGAGAGTGATGGCCGTGACAGTGATGGCCGTGACAGTGATGGCTTCACGTGACAGTGATGGCTACACGTGACAGTGATGGCTTCACGTGACAGTGATGGCTTCACGTGACAGTGATGGCCATGACAGTGATGGCTACACGTGACAGTGATGGCTGTGACAGTGATGGCCGTGACAGTGATGGCTTCACGTGACAGTGATGGCTGTGACAGTGATGGCTGTGACAGTGATGGCTGTGACAGTGATGGCCGTGACAGTGATGGCTACACGTGACAGTGATGGCTGTGACAGTGATGGCTTCACGTGACAGTGATGGCTTCACGTGACAGTGATGGCTTCACGTGACAGTGATGGCTGCACGTGACAGTGATGGCCGTGAGAGTGATGGCTTCACGTGACAGTGATGGCTTCACGTGACAGTGATG